ACATTAATGCTTTTTGCTCTATTGAGCTTATGTTTTGTTTAATTTTGAAAGGTTTGAGAAAAGAAAACAATGAGCACTATTTATCAATCTGTAATAAAAGACGTGAGGAAATCCGGTCTTTTTTAAAGACAAAAACTTTTGAGACGAAATACCCAAAAAGAAGTTTGTAAAAAAACTCCTTTTCATGTGCTTTTAAACGTTTTTTTGTTTCGTTCATCGTCAGTTCGTAAAAAGCAAATAATAGTTTGGTTGGGTAAAGACCCAATGATCATTTCGATTCTGGGGGATTAAGGGACTTCACAAAACTGCTATACGAACTTCAGACATTTTTTTGCAGAATTACCCTTTGAGATTTTTTGTGCGCGATTGAAAAAACTTATTTATTTTTTATTTTTGACGCGAAATACCCAAAAAGAAGCTTGTAATAAAACCAATTGGTTTTAGGGTATGAATTCGAAGCCTTAATGGTCGCTCACGATGGAGTGGCAACCACGTTGCCTCCCGACTCAACGACGCCTCCGCCTCAATCGGAAATCCCGGCGCCCCCAATAGCGAATCATCGCTATGGAACTGATGACAATATTAAAATTATTCGAATAGAAAAAACGACGGAGCCTTTGGGGGCTACTGTGAGAAATGAGGGCGAAGCTGTGGTAATTGGTGAGTAGAACAATTGCGTGACTTACTCAACGAGGAGTCGTAAATGATCGGTTTCCTTAGGACGAGTTGTGCGGGGCGGAGCAGCGGAAAAGAGCGGCCTTCTTCATGAGGGCGACGAAATTCTTGAAGTGAATGGAATTGAAATGCGCGGAAAAAGCGTGAATGCTGTTTGTGATATTCTAAAGGACATGGAAGGCTCCTTGACCATCTTGGTGATACCTGCGTCGCAGGCAAGGTAAGAGCGCCTTTCACTCGGCCTTGCAAGAGCCTTGAAGTTACCGTATCTTCTGCAGGATTCACATGGCCAGAGACATGGTTCTTCACGTGCGAGCCCTCTTTGATTACGACCCAGAGGACGACATGTACATACCTTGTCGAGAGTTGGGCATTAGTTTTAGGAAAGGCGATGTCTTGCATGTCATCAGCCAAGAAGACTCCAACTGGTAAGCAACCGTGCAGGATGGCCTACAGTTATGTGTTATTAAACGCTTTGCTGTTTCCAGGTGGCAAGCATATAGGGAAGGAGAAGAGGATCAAACCCTAGCCGGATTGATTCCATCGCTCTCGTTCCAACACCAAAGAGAAACGATGCGCTTGGCTGCCGAAGAGCGGATATCGAAGCCAAGCAAAAAATCCAGCACCTCCACCCTCTTATGTGGCACCACGTCGAAGAAGAAGAAGAAAAAGGGCGCTTACGACGAAGGTAGGGCAAAATACATGCAATGTAGACCTTTAGACGATTATTTCGCTTTCCAGGCGGCTACCCGATGTATTCAAACGACGACTACGATCCGGAGGAGATACTCACGTACGAAGAAGTGTCGCTGTTCTACCCCAGAGCGGACAAAAAGCGGCCCATCGTCTTAATAGGGCCACCCGATATTGGACGACATGAATTGCGGCAAAGGCTGATGGAGAATTCTGAGCGATTTGCTGCTGCCATTCCTCGTAAGTCTTAAAGCCCATTTACACGCTCAAGCCATCTGAACGATTTGGCTTGCGCAAGCCAGATCTGTGCAGATGAACTGAACGAAAATCTGGCGTTTACACGCTCAAGCCATCTGAACGATTTGGCTTGCGCAAGCCAGATCTGTGCAGATGAACTGAACGAAAATCTGGCGTTTACACGTTCAGTTCGTTTTACACAGATGTGAAGGAAGAGCACCCAAACGTGCATTGTTGCCGACAAGATGGAACATTTGGGCGAAGAGTTAATTCTTGCAACGGCTGCAGTGTGTGTAATCAAAAAAAAGATGAGCTTAAAAACTAAAATGAAATGGTGTAAACCATGGTTGTTGAACAGGAATTTATTGTCTCATACTAATTTACCCAATCACAAATCTGCTGTTTCTC